CTTGGCAGACAGAGAGGAAGGCCGGCGAGGCCACTGGAGCCTGCTGTCGGCCGGGCCGGGCTTCTTTCCCTTCACATCACGGGTCCCTGCGGTGGGTTTTAGGAGAGTCAGAGCACACCCCTCATGAACGCCGAAGCCCGCTGTTCTTTAGGCATCTCTGTCTCTCACAGTGACATAGAGCCATGTGGGGGGGTGGGGTGTCATAAATCTTCCATGCTTCTTGCCATCAAGAGCAGCGAGCGTCAGAGCTCCAAACTGAGTAAACACAGCTGCTTCGCAGCAAAGGTATGTAGATAGTTTCTCTATTTATTTTGTTCTTTCACGTGCTGTACTGGAGCAGGACTACTTCTGAATAAATGCTGAATGGACTGTGCTGCTGAAATAATCCCCACAGACCCAAGAGAAAGTGCCACAATAAAAAAAAAACATCAAGCTTGCACAATGTGATATGATAGAGAATAGATGAAATTTCTGAACTTTACAGTCAGAGGGGCCGCAGCGGAGGCAGCCTGGCTCAGCAGCGCCACCATGTGGTAAGAGCAAGGATTCCCAAGAGCAGAGTGCTTTACAGGAAGCAGGAAAGGGGAACTCCACAAACTCTGACTTACAAGGCAGGTGGCAAAGACGGAAACCGCCAAGATCCTCTTCATGTGGCTCAATCCAAGGGGTCAGTGAGACACACTAGGCAGAGAGGCAGGAAGGAGAACGAAACACAACCCCATTCCTAGCCCTCTGGTCTATGTGTCGAGCCAACTGCACAGCGACAGGAGGTTTTAAGATGTCTGAGCCTCAGCACCGAGGTGAGGTCGAGAGGAATCTTCTGCCTGCCCCAGAAAGTGTCTAATTCTATTTTCAAATGTATTTTCCTTATAATTGTTTGGAGAAATTTTGATCTAAGAAAACATAATACTTGATCAATACTAGATCTGACCTCAACTTCTGTGGCTCATTCAGGGTGCTCCAGGGTGCTGAGAAACATCAAGCAATGGAGACACCCCACAATCGCACATGTGTGTTCACTCCCTGGAATTCCCGGCATAAAACAGAACTCTGTCAGAATCAAGCAGCTGGGAGGCAGAAGCGGTCCACAGAGCCGACACCAAGTCGGTCAGGAGGACGGGACCAGGGACTCCGGATGAGAAGGAAGTGTTTCTGGACTATTCTTTCCAGGGTTCTATGCAGTCAAGTCCTCAGTGGAGAGAGGTCTTATATGCCATATACAGAGCAAACATTTGCTTTTGCCTTTTTCAAGAATTTTATCCCCATGGATTCGGAGTGAGTAAATTAATATTTCTCCAGTCAATTAATAGTGAAACATTTCCACTGGCTGCCACGGGACATTTTTAGGAGTCAAATTCAGTGTGTGTGTGTGTGTGTGTGTGTGTGTGTGTGTGTGTGTGCGCGCGCGCGCGCGCGCATGTATGCATGCACTACATCATATGCATGTTTGAGTGTGTGAGAGAACATGCACATGTGCATGCATGTAGAGGCGAGAGGCTGACATCAGAGTCCTCCTCATTTGCTCACCACTTTCATTTCCGAGGCAGGGCCTCTTGCTGAGCCCAGAGCTGGACGATTTGGCTTGTCTGGCTGTCAATTTGCCCACCCGAGGAGGGTCCTGTCTCCACACCCCCACAGGCTCCAATCACAGGCAGACTGCTATACCTCCCCAGGCTTTTATGCAGGCTGGGGGTGCCAATTCCAGACCACCTAGTGCTTATATATCAAGATTGTCCAGGCTGGAGAGATGGCTCAGTGGTTAAAAGCATTGGCTGCTCTCCAGAGGTCCTGAGTTCAATTCCCAGCAACTACATGTTGATTCCCAACCATCTAGAGTGGGGTCTGATGCCCTCTTCTGGCACAAAGTATACATGCAGACAGAACACTCATATACATAGACAGAGAGACAGACAGACAGACAGATAGACAGACAAATAAATAAGTCTGTTAAAAAAAAAGTTTGTCAGCCGGGCGGTGGTGGCGCATGCCTTTAATCCCAGCACTCGGGAGGCAGAGGCAGGCGGATCTCTGTGAGTTTGAGGCCAGCCTGGTCTACAAGAGCTAGTTCCAGGACAGGAACCAAAAAAGCTATGGAGAAACCCTGTCTCGAAAAATTAAAAAAATAAAAAAATTTAAAAAAAGGTTTGTCCACTGTCCAGTCTCCCCAGTTCAAGAACTAAAAAACTAAAACACTGATCTATGTCCTATGTTCCTGTCCTCTGACCTCCCAGGCTGGGGGCCGTGAGCGGTCACACGCTTGATGTCATCTCCAGCTGCGACCCTCAAGGTTCTGGAAATAAGGAGAGACAGCCTAGGAGGCTCAGCCACGTGCCGCTGAGACAGTGACCGCAGCCCACACGGCCCTGGCTTCCCTCCTCCGTGATGTGTGCTCTAAGAAGCTGAAGCTCTGACGACTGCTTTATTTGGTATTTTGATATCATTAGTCAGAGAGAGAAGTTTTGCTGGATGAACTGAACATTAAGTAGCTTGGTTTTGGAATTCTTAAGATAAACCACAAACAGAAGTCATATGACTAAGGCCTAGGGACCCACGTCAGAAACAGTGTAACATATGATTAACGCCTAGGAACACACATCAGATACAGTGTAGCGTATGACTAATGCCTAGGAACACACGTCAGAAACAGTGTAACATATGACTAACGCCTAGGGACACATGTCAGAAACAGTGTAGCATATGACTAATGTATGACTAACAGGTAGGACGCACATCAGAAACAGTGTAACGTATGACTAACGCCTAGGAACACACGTCAGATACAGTGTAACGTATGACTAACCCTAGGGACACACGTCAGAAAAAGTGTAACGTATGACTAACACCTAGGGACACACGTCAGAAACAGTGTAACATATGACTAACTCAGAAACAGAGCAAACTGTAGTGCTTGACTTGGCGGCAGATATCTGTAATCTCAGGCTGCTGAAGCAGAGGGATCATGGCAAGTTTAAGGGTGGCCTCTGCTGCAGAGTGTTCCAAGCCAGTGTGGGCTAGTGAAAACTTGTCTCAGCTGGGCTGTGGTGGTACATGCCTTTAATCCCAGCACTTGGGAGGCAGAGGCAGGCAGATCTCCATGAGTTCAAGGCCAGCCTGGTCTACAAGATCTAGTTCCAGGACAGCCAGGACTGTTGTTACACAAAGAAACCCTGTCTCAAAAAAAAAAATAAATAAACAAATAAATAAAAGCTTATTTTAAGTAAACAAATAAACAAGCTAAAAAATGAGTAATAAAAATGTAATAAAAGAAAGTTTTTTTAAATGAGAAAAATCATCGTGTGTTGGCATCAATTTTTTAGTCAATGCATCACCGTCAGTGTTCTTAGACTGGGTACCAGGAACTTGTTTAGCACATCTATTTTTCAGCCCATTTGATCTCTGAACAACCCAATAATCATTGCATTATTACAACCATTGCATCAAAGTATGACGCTCACACAACTCTCCCAAATATTTTCTCCTCCAGCCCTCACACGATCTCCCAGGGTCTGCATCTACTTCTGTAAGTCGGCACGGAGCAGTTAGTTACACATGCACAGCCCGGCTCTCCTCCACAGACTAAGCTTGCCCTGGGACGGAGGCCAACCAGAAAGCTAGCACCGCCCTTTCTCACAGTGCAGGCGTGAAGGGTGGATTTTGCCCTTTTCAAGTGAGACAGGTGGGTTCGGTGTGTGGCATCCCCTGACCGCCATAGTTTTGCTATGTTGACATCACTAACCCCACAGACTGGCCTGTTACCGGCGACAACAGAAAGCTCCGCAGAATCATGTGTCACAATGAATGAGAAACTGACAGCTTGTCACCATGAAGGGATTAGCGGGAACACACACCTGGAGAACCTGGCAGCCTGCCCAAACCCGGGATCCCTCACAGAACAGCAGGGAGTGCAGGCGTGAGGCGGACTCCCAAACCCATTTCCAGCATTTCCATTTTACTTTTAGACATGAATGACAAACACGAAATCCAAAGCCTCCTTGCCACAAGATAGCCAACATCGGAACACAGAAAACAGAAGCTATGATGTTTCCCATGCAAAGACTTTCTGAGAAAACCCCCTGATCAAAACAGCTGGTTTGATCCCAGATGACTTCAGATTCCAAAAGGGTTGGTTACCCTTCAGCAGACACAGGGAGTCTGGTTCCTGCACTCCTGCCCACAGACACTAAGAGCCAGAGTCTCAGCCATCCAGAGCACAGCATGTGCACACGGCCTGTGCACAGCCTCTGAAGACTTGAAACACCTAGCACATTGCCAGCGCTGGAGAACAGTTGCCACACCGCACCATGTATTGGTCAGGCAATGACAGGAAAAGCAGAGGCAGGATTGGCTTTAGCTGTGTACGTGTATGTATGTGATGTGTATGTGCGGCTGTGTGTACGTGTGTGTGTGTTCAAACAAGTAAAGCTGAGTATGCAGCATGGCACACATGCGGAAGTCGGAGGGCAGCGGGTGCTGTTCTTCACTCTTCCCCTTCCACCTGGTTAGAGACAGGGTCTCTTCCGCTTACACCATGCAGGCCCGGCGGGCTGGCCTGGGAGCTCCCAGAACTTCCCATCTCGGCCTCACATCACACACAGGAGCACACTACAGCATCCGGGTTCACACAGCCTCCTGGGGATTCACACTCAGGTCCTCACCCTTGCCCTTCACACCCTGAGCCACCTCCCTGCCCAGTGCAGGATCTTTGCCTTTTCCAAATATCTAGTCTACAATTGACTTCATCCACAGATACAGAACCACAGGCATGAAGAAGTATCTACGTGATTCTGGCCTGTAAGACAGAGCTCCAGTTACATACACACACACACACGCACGAACTACACGTATGAACGAATAATATTAAAGATACTGGCATACTATTATTGTGGTTTCCAAACCCAAAGTCAACTCGTAAATCAAGGTGAAGATGGTCATGACAGAAGAGCGAAGGGAAGGAGTCGCACTTTGAGGGGAGGCCACCCGAAGGCCGAGCCTGCACTCACCTCAGCGGCCAGCAGCAAGTAGAGCGGAGTTAAGGCAGGAACTTGCCGAACATCACAGCTTAGCCCGAGGGTCGTCAGGATCTCCTTAAGGACTTCGTGCCTCCTCATGTTGCTGGACTTAAGCACGTTGAAGTCCTCTTGGGTTTGCACCATGGAAGCGCTTGGAGGGAGTTCTAGGTACACCTGAGGATGAGACAAACAGGAGGTAAAGTGTGGGCACTTGAGTCAGAGAGGCAGTGTCTGTACGGGGGTTGATGAAGACCTGAACATGGCTCTCCTCCCATCAACCCTGGGCTCGACTATGGGAGAGTGACGTCAAGAAACAAGAACATGAGGACTAGAATGGGACCATCGGGAGAGCGACGTCAAGAAACAAGAACACGAGGGTAAGAATGGGCCCCTTAAAATCACGGCTTCCCAGCTCAAAAGTCACAGTGGACCCCGTCTCTGGGTGGTCACAAATTCTCTCCAGATCATGGCTTTTACCATCAATCCACTGCACATCCTTAGGAAGGTCACTCAACCAGGACTAAAACATCTGGAAGACAATCATGCTGAGAACCCGAGAGGCTGGAAACTTCCGCTCTGCCCTGCAGTCGATGGAGGAGAGAAGGTATTCCTCATTTGGATACTGCCTGCAGGACTTGGGGTGGATAGAGTGGACATCCCAGACAACCGAAAGGCCTTCTTGACCCCCCGCACATGACTGAATTCTAAAACTGGGGTCTTCCTACATGTAGTCCAGGTGTTAAAGCATGAGTTAGGATATTCAGGACTCATCCAAGAGGCCACGCGAAGGTTATGAGTACACAAACATCTCCAACACCTCCCTGGCAGAATGAAGGACCACACTGGACTACAAGCTCCCACGGGAGCGGATTTCAACTGCGTGTCAGAGTCCACTCAGTAATAGCAAGCAGCCGTGCTTAGTTTTACTTTGGTTTTCTCTGCTGATTTCCACCCGGAACACCGGAAGGCTGAAACAGCATAGTGCCACCCCCAGATGCCTTCAGCCATTCAATCCTTGCCTAGGCTGTAACCAAGGCAAACACATTGTCCAACATAGGACAAATGCTGAACTCTGAACCAGTCTGAAGAGGCTGCAGTACAGTGGTCAGTGGACAAGAGATAAGCCTGTCCCCCAGACAGCTCTTGAAGAGGGACCGAGAAGAAAGGGATGCCCACATCCTAATCAAAGGGCCACTTCTTCCGTCTGAGCACACGGCTGCGCTCTGGGTTAACTCTACAGGTGGCACAAATAAAATGAGCAAAAGCTATGTCCCTGTAGGAGTTCAAGAGAGAGAGGGAAGCGTACGGCTGAATGGTGTGGCCTCACCGGATGGTAAAGACACATGGAGCTTGCGCAGTGAAGTGTGCCAAGCTGATCTGCACAAGAGAAAGAGGCACAGGGGAAAGGCTTCCGCCAAGCTGCAATAGGCCCCCAGGCCCAAAGTGGACACCACTAAAGTTGGGGAGATGCTTTTACTTGCTGGACTGTGGAGGACAATGCTCATTCAGCATGCATGAGACCCTGCCCTTGCAGCAGCTATGTGTGGGGGCGGGGGAGGCTATCGTCCTGACACAATCACAGTCATTGGCTGGCGACATGGACATCCTTGGCCTGGCCTCTTTGATGTGGGAGTGTCATATCAATCTGTTGATTTCATTGGCTGAGCAATAAAAGAAACTGCTTGGCTGGCCCTGATAGGTTAGAACATAGATGGGAGGAGGAAACAGAATAGAATTCTGGGCAGAAGAGGAAGTGAGGTCAGACTCTGCTCTGCTCCCGGAGAGACCCAACAGCTCTGCTCTCTGGAGCAGAGACACCAGGATGGACGGAGGCTAGACTCTTCCCGGTAAGCGCACCTTGGGGTGCTTGCACACATCATTAGAAATGGGCTAGTCCAGGTGCAAGAATTAGCCTGTAAGGGTTAGAGTTCATGGGCCAAGCAGTTCTTAAATGAATACAGTTTGTCTGTTGTTATTTTGGGCATAAGCTAGCCAAGCGGCTGGGGTGTTGGGGATGCAGCCCCGCCGCTCCTATTTCAACACCTCTTCAAAGCTAAGGCTTCTCAACTGCACGGAAAGCCACAGGTAAAGATGTTTCTAGCAACAAACGCAGAGGGTGTGGCTGGCGTCCAGTGGCCATGTCCAGGAATGCTGCTAACCGCCTATAGACGACATGACCACACCTCCCCACAAAGACTGACCTGGCCCAAAACTGGCAAGGGGGCCACACTATAAAACTTTCCTCAGCTAAGCTGGGTAAGCAAATGAAATCTTTTCAAATCCATTTTCAAGCTGTATTGGGGCAACATCAAGCCAAAATCCAGAAGCATTTGATGACCAAGTATCAGCCTTAATTCTCGGTTTAACACATTCCCAGCGGATGCAGTCTCCCCAGCACGGCAAGCGCATGGCTTGTTACCGGGAATTCGAAGGCTGGGATGCCCCCGCCCAGCGAGCACTTGCACTCTGACCTTGAAACTCTCTGCCTTCTCTTACTGGGTTACATCATTTCTAGACTTGTCACAGAGATGACGGCTATGGGATTGAGCAGAGAATGAGGAAACTGCGCAGCCTGTAATAATATTTATTGGCTGGTTTCAGCGAGGTGGAGCAGCTAGAGGCTGGGGAGAAAACAGTGAGTGACCCTGCCACACAGGAGACTGGAAGTCATTTAGAACCAAAGATGACACTCTAATCCTCGGACTCTGGTTTGTGGGCCTGCATCATATTGCCCTCTTCCTTCCTACGGCAACAGACTGCAGTATCAGATTTTATGATAGTGTTGGGGTCAGTTTAAACGGTGCAGCAGGCAGATGTGCCATGGAGCTCGGAGAAACGGGCTGCACCGTGCCGAATCAATTTTCCAGTACAGTCTGTGCACAGAAGTGGGGGGGAGAACTCTTCAAAACTGAAATACGGCTTCAGGAAGTGGGGTTTTCAAGCATATTTTTTGAGAGTGCATGGTTGCTATAGTGACTATATTAGCAGACAGAAAGATAAGAGGAACATTTAACTAGCCCATGTGGTCTGCAGCCTCACCGGAAACCTGCTGGCTCTCCATGTGAATGTCCGTCCCAGTGTCCGGATTTCTGCATTTAGAACAATAGGCGTCAGGATAAAGGTAGGAGAGCTGGGGTGAATGCTGGCCGTGTAAGTGTGAAGACCTGCGCCCACAGAACCCACACAAAGCCAGAATCAGCAGCAGGTGTGTGTGATCCCGGCACTCCTACAGAGATGGGAGGTGGAGACAGGACAGTCCCTGGAAGCCTGCGGCCCAGGGAGCCTGCCTGGCACACGCAGGAACGAACAAGGGACTCCGTCAAACAAGGTAGAAAGAAGAACTGTGTCCATAGCTGGCCTTGGCCTCCACCTACCAGCCACAACATGTACAGAGAGCCGACAGACAGACAGACAGACAGACAGACAGACAGACAGACAGAGACACAGGAATATTTGCTGCATCTGCATGAGTATTTGTGTGCCTGTATATAAGTATGTACGTGCAGTGCCTGTGGAAACCAGAAGACGGAAGCTGATCCCCTGGAAGTGGAATCATAGACAGTTGTGAGCCATCATGTAGGTGCTGGGAACCAAAGCCAGGCCCTCTGGAAGAGCAGCCAGTGCGCTTAACTGTTGTTGAGCCATCTCTCCAGCCCTAAGTACTTGGGGTTTAAATGCTAACAAGTCATACGAAAGAACAGAGGCTGTGAAGACCTGTCCAACACCAAACACGGGTGTGACCGAGAGCATTAGGTGATGGGGGTATTCATGAAAGCCCTCAGCTAAGCCTTCCACACACCTGAAGGTGACAGGTGCTGGTCTGAATTCCCCTCTGTGCCTCTGAGCTCCCTGAATTAAACAAGGGCTTGATATCAACCAGGGTGTGCACTGAGGCCAGAAAATAAACTACATTTTAGGAAGAATGGTACCAAGAGTGACAAAAATGACCAAGTGTTCTGGCGAGTCCTTGGCTAACCTGAAGGCTTGGCTCACCTTGCTGCCTTCTGCCTGGCTTGGCTCACCTTGCTGCCTTCTGCCTTGGCTCTTCCATCACAGGCAATTTAGGTGATGGGGGTATTCATGAAAGCCCTCAGCTAAGCCTTCCACACCCCAGAAACTTCTACACACAGCAGAAGCTCAGCCAAGAGGACAACTAAGTACAACTACCCGGTGACACTTGGATTCTTGAGCATGTGTGTGCGGGGGAGTGGTGTGTGTACGTATGTGTGGTGTTTGTGTGTATCTGTAGTGTGGGGGGTGTGGTGTGTGCATATGTGTGGTGTGGGGCATAGGGTGCGTATGTGTGTATGTATGTGTGCTGTGTATGTGTATCTGTAGTGTGGGGGGTGTGGTGTGTGCATATGTGTGGTGTGGGGCATGTGGTATGTGTGTGTGGTGGGGGTGTAGGGAGTGTGGGTGTGGTACGTGTGTACATGTGTGTTTGTGTATGTGCACATGCACAAGAACACATAAGCTTGTATGTGGATGCCACAGGATCATCTCAGCTGCTATTTCTCAGTGCTGTCCACCTTGAGTTTGAGACGGAGCCTCTCACCGGCCTGGAACTGACCAAGGAAGGAACCCCCGTCTCTGCCTCCCCAGCAGCTTGACTATAAGCACACGCCACCACGCCTGGCTCTCTTCACGTGGGTTCTGGGGAATCAAACTCAGGTCCTCAAGCTTGTAAGGCACACACTTTCCGCTGAGCTCTTGTCCCAGCTGCTCCTGGACGTCTTGATGCTGAGCCTTAAAGAGCACATTCTGCCCAAATACACCCTAAAGCACCAGTAGACACCACCCCCATACCTGGCAGAGAACGGCCTCTCCTCCGCGGCTTCCAAAAGGCACGTGAACAATCATCTTGTCCTTGTCTGGGTTCTCTAGGTGGCCCTGCAGTTTGCCCAGACTGAGGCCTTCCTCATAAACACAGCCGCTGCTCAGGACGCTAAGCTGTACCTCACTCCCATCAGCCTTTGAGAAAACCAAGTTCTGGACTGTGTTCTGTAGCATGTCCTTGCTGGCCACCTGAAAGCCACCAAACGTGAAGGAGGAAGACAGGCCCAGCACCTTCCCTCCCTGAGAAAGATAGGCCATGAACTTCTGGTATATGTCTTTGGGGATGGGTTCCCTGGTGGCAACCACCAATAGCAGGCAGTTGTCTGGCCACGGGTCCCTGAGAGCACTGTCTTCCAGCAGATGGTAGAGCGTGTAGCTGTCGGTGTCCACACAGTCGGTCAGGGTAGCCCGCACCTGCTGGAGCCGGCCCAGGGCTTCCTCAGAATTGGAGCCCACATACAGCAGGATATTGGGTGCCTTTCCAGAAAGGTTGACTCTCCTCCCTTCCCGTTCGGGGCAGAGTTCATCTGCAGCATCCTCCGCGCTGCAGCTGTGATCATAGGGAAGATCAGGAATGTTCTCTGCAGACGCAAACCTCACTGATTCAATGGTGCTGTTCTCAAGTTCCAAACACTCGTGGCAACTGGACAGGTGAAGCTGATGGAGCTCAGCGGAGCTCTGCCCGGGGTCACCATCTGCAGCCGGCTCACCTGCAGACGCACAGCCTCTCCTCGGTAGGGAGGAGCCTTCACCGGTAGCCTTCAGGTCACCTTGGCCAGCACACTCCATGACGCCCTGCGCAGGTTCAGCCTCAAGGGAAGGGTCTGGGCCCAGTGGCAGGGCGTGGACCTGCTCAGCAGAGGCCTCGCTGACTTCCTTCAGAGCGGGATCCTTTAAGTGAACTGCTAGAGCATCAATGGGAGAGACTGTTAGTCAGCACTGCTGATCAGAACCCTACAGACCAGCGCGTGCCTCCTCTGGTCCACCCCAATCTGCTGATCAGAACCCTACAGACCAGCGCATGCCTCCTCTGGTCCACCCCAATCTGCTGATCAGAACCCTACAGACCAGCGCGTGCCTCCAGTCTACCCAATCCCCACCTGTATTAGTTGAACACTTCCACAGTGAGAGCAAACCTGTTGGCTAAAACTGAAAGCAAGCGCGGCCCTAAGTCACGGCCTGGGGAAACCACAACAGCCCTCCGAGGAATCCCTGTGACACCCGTGGAAACTTTTTCTCGAGTTACTTACAAACAATCTTCTGGGCTATCAGTCCATGGTCCATCTGGAGCCTCTCCTCCATAAACGCCACCCCGAGCTTGCTGAAGTTGTCCACACTTGCTTTAGCTATGAACTGGTAGGGATCCCCGGGTCGGAAAGCTAACGGCAAGCAGCAGTCCGACCATTTTACAACCTGAGGAAAGAACCGGTGAGGGGGAAAGAGAAGCTGAAACTTTCATCCACAGTGACCAGACATGACACTTTACCCTCAGGCTCCTCGGTACCAGGCTACAGGCAGGCAGACTGCATCCACCAAGCTCCTAGATATCGCCTTGGACCAAGAGCAAAGGTATTTGGGCTCAGGCACCCTAGTTCCGACCTAACAAGAGTGAGTAATTACAAAGCCCTAACCAGAGTGCTACTGGACTTTGCCAGATGTGGTGATACCCTCCCTTCACACGGCCAGCACACCCCTCACACCACCAGCACACCCCTCACACCACCAGCACACCCCTCACACCACCAGCACCTAGAAGGCTACTGTCTGAGGGTCTCAAGTTCAAAGACAACATAAGCCACATACTGAGACCCTTCCTCAAAAAAAAAAAAAACAAAAGGGAAGAGTTAGAAAGATGGCTCAGAGGTTAAGAGCACTGGCTGCTCTTCCAGACATCAATTTCCAACAACCACATGGTGGCTCACAACCATCTATAGTGAGATCTGGTGCCCTCTTCTGGTCTTCCGGCAAACATGCAGGCAGAACACTGTGTACATAACAAATCTTAAAAAAAAAAATCAAAAAGGAGAACTGGGTGGATGGTTCCACAGGTAAGTATAGCTGCTGCTTTTCCAAAGGACCTGGGTTCAATCCCCCTACACCCACATGGTGACACAACCATCTGTAACTCCAGTTCCAGGGAACCTATTCCCTTCCACCATACCCACGTGGTACACAGTCACACATGCATGCAAAACACCCACACGCATAAAATTAGCTGTGAAAAATAATAACAATGAAATAAAAATAAATGGAACTTATAAATAAAATAAAAGTAACCAAAGTCTCAACTGCTTTAGGGTACTAGAGATGAAGCGGACATTCTCCAGACATGAGCAGAACCTGAGAGCACTTTTGTACCAGGCACGGGACAGAAGCCTCCAGAACACCCAGTAACGTACAGGAAACCTGCCCACCAGTTATTTTCCAGTGCAGTCAGGGGCAGCAGCAAATATCTACCCAAAAGCACATCAGATCCGGTGCATTTCAGGATCCCCAACCATCAAATGCACTTCAGAGACAGTGGCAAGGCGGTTGCTGGGAAAGACAGTGTGGACAGTTCACAATCCAACCACTAGAGGGAGAGAGACACATGAGGCTGGGAAACGGCCTTCCAGTTTGGTAATCAAAGAATTTCAGGAAGGAGTGGAAGACACAGTCTCTGAGGATTCCCAGGGGAGAGGAGGATCCCGCTGAGCAGGAAGCCTGGCTGAAAAGTCCAGGAAGCCTGAGTCAGACACAAGCTCCACTCGCCGCCACTCCCTGCCCCCCCCCCCCTGCACCTCTCAATGCCTCTCTGTCCAGTAGGTACAATGATAGCATCAACCATCACCTCAGGTCTGCCGCCGGGGGCTGGAGAGAGTCACCCCAAGGGCACTCCTCGCTTTTCTGAGGACCTGAGTTCAGTTCCTAGTACGTGGGGATACAACCCCTCTTCTAGTCTGAAAACACATATATAAATCAGTAATAAAACCAATCTTTTATAATAATAATAGTTATAAAAAGGAGTAAAGCTTATGCTAAAGTCCCCAGTGCAAGCTGTTTCTATCAACAACCATCAGTGAGTCCTCTACTCCCAAAAATGTCCTCAAGGGTAGACTGTCCTGCAGTTCACAGCCAGAGACACAGAAGTCTGGGTTCCAATTTCTAAGTTGAGGGGATAGCTTTTTAGAATAAATTTCCTCCTGGAAAATCACAAAAAGAATATACTGCCAGAATAACCAGAAATTCAAACACAAAAGAATGAAGACGGATCCCTGCCTCAGACCATTACCCAAGCTGCGCCAAAGACCTCAGCTTAAAACGCAAAAGTATGAATCCTCAGAAGAAAACAGAGGCAAACTGTCAGAACCCAGGATCAAAGGACAGTTTCTCAGACTTGACATTAAAAGTACAGGCAACATAAGAGAAAAAGATAAGGGGCAGGAGAGACGGCTCAGTAGTTAAGAGCACTGGTTGCTGTTCCGGAGGACCCAGGTTCAATTCCCAGACCCACATGGCAGCTCACGACTGTCTGTAACTCCAGTTCCCAGGGATCTGACACGCTCACACCAATGCACATAAAATAAGATAACAATTAATTATTTTTTTAAAAAGATAAATTGGAAGTTCCCAGTGCTTTCTGTACATCAAAGAACACTTTCGAGAAGGCGAAAAGGCAACACACGGAGACAGGAAATATTTGCAAATCACACAACCCCTAAGACCGACAGTGAGAAACGAAATGACTCGCTTTCAAAGTGAACAAAGTGGAATTTGAATCCATTATATCTCATATAATATGCAAATGCACAAAGTGCAAACCAAACCATAGTGGAATATCACCTCTATGCCCACGGGCTGGCTAGCATAAGAACAGGCGAGGACCAGCATTGAAGATGAGAGGAAGCTGTCAATCCAGAGGCAGCAAGAGGGCTCAGCAGGTGAGGGCACTGGTTGCCAAGCCTGGTGACCTGAGTTCAACCCCCAGAACCCACCTGTGGACAGAGAGAACCAACCCCTGCAAGTCATGCTCTGACCTCTGACCTCCACAGCATACCTGTCCACACACACACAGGATACACACACACACACACATGTACATAGAATAAATGTAATAAAAATTTTAAAAAGAAATGGGAATTTGAACACATTGCTGATAGAGATACAACATGGTTTGGCATCTTCAGGAAAGAATTTGAGGGCTCTTCAAGAAGCTAAACACTGAGTTATCACATGACCAAGTAATTCTGCTGGAGTGTGTACCTAGGAGAATTAAAAACAGGGGCCGTGTATGTTAAGTTGGGAGCATAGCCCCCAGTCCCTGGCATCCATCTCAGCCTCCCTGGCCTGGGAGTTGCTTTGCTCTGGACTCCAAATCCCAGCATGCCAGGTCCTGACCCCCCTCCTCACAGGGTATTTAAGTGGGCTCCCAGAGGAGAAACACGTGGTTTTCAGGTCTGCATAGGCTCCCTGCTGTCCTGTTTCCCCACCATGCACTCGGCCACCCGAGAGCACCATACTTAATAAAACGATGGGCATTTTGATTTGGTTTGATTTGGTTTGATTTGACCTAATTGGAGCCGCCTTTCTTATTCTTTTTTCTCAACAGTGTACATACACACCCTGTGCATAAATGCCCACAGTTCTGTACATATCCAAATATCCTGTAATAGAAGACTGTATAAAATGTATATCCACACACTATCCACACATGGACGATTGAGCATCTGTTAGGAAGGAGCAGTACTACCTCCTACTAGCATTTACAACACGATGAATCATGAATCGCTTAACAGACGCTGTCTCGGTCAGGGTTTCTACCGCTGTGACCAAAACCAAGCGGAGGGGGAAGGGTTTGTTTGGCCCACTCCTCCATATCACAGCTCGGGGCAGAAACTGCAGCAGGACAGGAACCTGGAGCCAGGGCTGATGCTGAGGCCGTGGAGGAGTGATGCTTACGGCTTGCTCAACCTGACAGAGCCCAGGACTATCAGCCCAGGGTGGCCCCACCCACTATGGCAGGGACCTCCCCACCAATCACTATTAAGAAGATGCCCCACAGGCTTGTCTGCGGACTGATCTCACGGAGGAATTTTCTCAGTTGAGACTCCTCCTTTCTGGAATAGTCTAGCCAGCATCTAGCAGACATTAAAACTAGCCATGAAAGAGGCCAATAACTAAAGGTCATGTATGATGCTAGCATTGTAGAAAAATGATGGAGGAAGGTCATTGGTTAATTAATAAAGAAACTGCTTGGCCCTGATAGCTTAGAACATAGGTGGGTAGAGTAAATAGAACAGAACGCTGGGAGGAAGAAGAAGTGAGCTCAGACGCCATGTTCCCCTCTCCCGGGCAGATGCGATGAAGCTCTGACCAAGGATGGACGTAGGCTAGAATCTTCCCGGTAAGCGCACCTCGGTGCTATGCACATTAATAGAAATGGGCCAGGCAGTGTTTAAATGAATACAGTTTGTGTGTTGTTATTTCAGGGTATAAGCTAGCCAGGCGGCCAGGAGCCGGGCTGTGGGAAGAGGCCCGCAGCTTTTACTACAGAAAAATCAGCAAATCTGTAGTCAGAACGTAGCTTAGTGATAGGAGTAAATGGGGGGGGGGGCAGCTTCTTTCTGGGGTGAGGCCTTCGAAGCCAGACAGCGGTGATAACTGTAAAATGCTGTAAATATATCAGAAACCACCTGAGTTGTACACATTAGAAGGGGAAGTCTTACGACGTGTAAATTAAACAGCAACTTTTTAAGAAGATTTGTTTTATGTATGTGTCTGTGTGTATACGTATGCCTGCACACTGCTGCCTTCAGACACCAAAAGAGGGTCTCAGATGTCCGGGTGCTGAGTTACAGGTGGTTGAGAGCTGCCCTGTTGTTGAGAGTTGTTACAGGTGCTGGGAACCCAACTTCAGTTCTGTGCAGAAGAGCTCAAGAGCGCTACCATAGCACCATCTCCCCAGCCTAGACACCAGTCTCCTCAGGAAGATGGTGACGCGGTGGCCAGCTGTGTACTCGCTAGGACAGCTGGTCAGTAAGAACGCAGCAGCCTAACTGAGAGGAGCATCTCTGAACCGGCTTCCTGTCTAGATGAGGGATGGGATAAGCTACCAGGGAGGTTGAAACAGGACACCTTAAAGAGCCAGGTGCACAGGGGTGCTCTGATTATCTTAGAAGTGACGTCCCCAGAGCAGTTTCTCAGGGCACGAAACACGAAGGCGCAGAAAGTGAAGTCGGATGTTACAACAGTTTCCGGCACTCCAGCTAAACTACCGCATGAAATTTTATTCCTCAGTAGTCTTAGAATTTAAATTGAACTGAGTTTTTCCTTAGAATAACAAGAGGGGGAAAAAAGAAGTTAATGGGTGCCATTGAAAGACCTGGGAGGCACAGGCAAAAACACAGGACTCTGGCAGGAACTGACAGAGTATC